GAAAATTGAGTCAAAGAGTCATGGTTATGGCGTATTCTTTGTGTTGGTGACACAAATCTACAAGAGTAAAGTGCATGGTAGAGCATTTAAAATGGATATACTTCCCTCCACATTTAAATCCTTTTCAGCCTTTACTTCATCTCCCAAATGTTAAAACATTCGTCTTTATACAGCTCCAAAAGACACAAAATGACCTTCAAATGTATCACAAATCCATCTTTACCACTTATCTCCTCCATTTTATAATACTGTCACATATGCACATGAAAAAAAATAGGACTAATAGGACAAATAAAATATAAATATTTGACTTTTAGACCCACAATAACCCACAATTCAATTGTATGACTACAATATATAAAGTATAATGCTGCAGGAGTGGAGATATTTGGTGGCCTGGTGGTTTTAAACAATCAGGTTTAGACTTTCATCAAGGGTTAATACATCATATTGTTATTTTAATGTTGAAGTGAGTAATCCCTTTCATACCGAGGTTGGCCACTTTATAGGGAACATACAGAGATTCTTAAACATGGATGATGTTAGGTATGGTTTGGTCTCAGTATACAGTTCATAAAAATAAAAGGAAGTGAAATCTGCTTGTTAATGTCTGAAATGTTATTCCATTGTTCTATAAATTGTGATGGAGCCCAGTGGGAGAAAAGCATAACCACTTCGTCCTCCAGAGTTGTGAGAAAATCATCTCCTGTTCCCGATAAAATGATTAGCCTATTTTTTAAGTACATTATGTGTGAAATTGAATCATTTATTGCACCGATTTCTCATCAAAGAAATAGCAAATTTGTCTGAAGAATATGTATGTTATAGATTGTAAATAATGCCTGACAACAAACCACAGATTACCAGTTATATGAATCATTTCTTACAGTCAACTCTGCACCAAAGCTTTGTGTACCACACGTGGCCCCACCCCCTCTCCTCCTACACATTAAAATGGAAAGACAACAGGAATTCCTCTAAGAGCAACTGGCTCCTGATTGGTCAAAACGGGATTCTAAAGCCAATCTGTTGCTATGAGACACTGACTTGTGTGCTGCCAGCTCGCTGTCTGTTGTCCTGGCAACACGAGGAACAGGAGGCTGGTTTGAGGGCTCCCTGGAGGAGCTCCCCTGGAGACAGTCTGAGCATGTGTGGTGCCTAATGATGACGGCTGGAAATCTGACATTTTATTAAATAATACACTCTGAATGATTTTCTGTCTGGTCTGGCTGCAGGGAAAATGTTATTCTTCTGAAATGGTCTGCCACAGGTCTATGTGAGAGAAGTACACGCGGTTGTGTTCAGTGTTTTTTTTTATGTTAATAAATAGATATAATTCAGGAAGCTATAGTCTGCACAGATTGAGACAGAAGACGTATTGAGCTTCTGTCAGAGTGTTAAACCACTTATATTGTTAAATAACAGCGATCTGTGTCTGTTGCTGCTCTGGACTTAGGGAAGATGAGTCTTGATCATGTTGTTGTCTTGGCCAATAGATGGGGCATCAAACACTTGAGTTCTGTGTTTTTAAAGGAATTAATGGCATCTAGTGGTGAAGCTGCAGATTGCAACTAAATGAACACAGCTGGCATCTGTTTTTCTCAACGTGGGAATGAGAACGGGCTGTGAAGTGTGTAGGAGAAACTACGGTCAACGACAGCCAGTGTTTGGTTTGTCTATTCTGGGCTACAGTAGAAACATGGCTGTTCAACATGGCTACATGGAAGGAGACCCTTACGTTAATGAAAACGATGATTCCTATATTCAGGTGATTATACACTAATGAAAACATATATTATATTCCATTTCTGGACTATTACGTTTTAGCAGTGTAGAAAACAAGTCTTCTAGTTAATAAATTAATCAGACAAAATATACATCTTGTGTTGTGAAGTTTATTTTGTTGTAGTTTGAAAATTACACACACTTGTACACATCCAAATACATTTGTTACACAGTGATACATTTTTCCAGATTCAGATTCCAGAGAGAAATACAACCAACATTAAACTTTTTTTTTTTTTTTAATTGCATATATTTATTTATTTATTTGTATTTATTTTTTTTATGTTAAATTGGAGGAAACTGGAGCACCAGGAGTAAACCCATGCCAACACGGGCAGTATAGAAACTCGATACAGCAAAGATCAAGGCAGGGAATCCAACCCTGACGAATGCTGTAAGGCCACAGTGTTAAGTTAAGTTACTATAAATCCGATGAGAGGGAAGGTGAGACGGTTTGTGATCTTATTAAGTTGTTTACTTCAAGATGAATGTGGTGCTCCAAGGTGTTTAACGAAGCGGGGCGCAGTGAAAAGGGGGGAGATGGTCTTTTAGTGATCGCAGCAGCCCACGATGCAGCACCTAAAAGGCTTGGTTAGAGCTTTTCCCACTGCTTTAAAGAACCTCGCAGCTGCACTCTTTTTGGTTGGACTGAGGAAGACGTTCAGATGGCCCTTCAGATGTTTCACAACAGAATCAACAAACGATGGGTGGTCTGATGCCATTGCAGCCTCCAGTGGCTCCTGGAGAGGATCTTTCATCACAGCCTTGTTGAGTTTCTTCATGCTGTTCTTGATCTTTCTGACAGCAGAGTCAGTAAAATCAATCTCCTCCTGTGCCTTGTCCGACAGACGCTTGATGATGGCGTTGATGTCTTCCATCTGAAGGGACTTTTTGGTTTTCTGAGGGGATTTTGTGATGATCCTCATGACCAGAGCAGTGATGACTTTATCCTGTCTGCTGTAGGAGATGAAAGTCGGACTCTTCAGAGCTCGACACCTAACTGGACTCTTTCACGATGACATTGTTGTCCTTCAGTGCACCAGACATTGCATTGCTGCAGCTTGATTTAGTTGATGGCTCCATCTCCATCTAGAGCAGCACCTGCTGCAAGAATTTTCCTACTGCGTCTTCTGTCATAACATACACGACTTCAGGAGAAGTTGAGTGGTGGCGTCCACCTCCCTCCTGAGCTGTGAGATGACAGAGTCAGACAGACTTCTTACCATTGTAGCAGCAGAAAGTTGGTATGTCTGGCTACTCTTCACATGACCATACATCTTAGTCAGTTCTTTTGAAAACTTCCTGATTTGATCACTGGCCATTGTTTTGTTGCCACTTGCTACAGGTTTCTCTGGGACGTTCAATTGATGAAAAAAGCTGTCAACATCGTCTTTGAAGGTCTCAAAAAGTGGTGAAGACAGCTCCTTCCTCATATTGATTACTGCTGTCGATTGTGTTCTCACTTGTTCTCATCAGTTTTGCCATCATATTTTCATATTGTTTGTTGGCAAACTTGAGGAAGCTGTGTTCGCAAGATTTTTGGTTGATGCCGGTGGAGTCTTTTAGTTGTGGCATAGAAGCCTTTCACCTTGTCAACTATTAGCCTCAAATTAAAATGAGGTCTTGGTGAGATATTTTTGTCACTGCTCCTATCAACATCTGCAGTGTCAGGATAATGCAGGTCGTCAATTATCTTTCAGACAATTTCAGATGCTGCAGCCTCAGCATCCATACAGGTGCAAACCGGAGGAATGAAAGCATGTCCTTCCTCTCCTTTGATCTCTGGCATCTCTCTGGATCATTTGACGAGGATGTCACTCACAGCTTTTGTCACAGTGGGGACAGAGATTGTGCATTTTATGCTCTGACATGATTCTGTTTCTTCCAAATCCTGGCTGTGATCTTAAGATTCTGAGATTTTTGCGTTTCTTGGCCACCAACACAGGCACCGGCAGTTCACTTTACCCAAATATCTCTTCAGGCATGAGGAAGCATGAAACACCATGCGACGAAGAAACATCATGTTGGATATGTTGCCAAGGACAAAAATGCCAGGCTCCTTCGGCCAGTCGGAGCAGCTGGTGGAATTCAGCACAACAGAATCTAGCTTCTGCGAAACCTCCTTTGCCACCATTTCTGTCAGCGCCTCTGCACTCTGACACGTCTGCAGTGGGACGTGAAGAGCATCAGCAAAGCTACCAGGGATGGAGTCTCCAAATTGAGCTCTGAAGTTCTCCAAAAGTGCACTCATATCAGTCTGAGTTGCACACCTGAGCATGATCTCCTGAATCATTAATGCAGTCGCTCTCAGGGTGATTTCAGTGATCATATCTGCCAGGGTGGACACTGTGTCTGTGTCCATCGTCCCTGAAGCTAACATTGCCCACTGTGCTGCAGAGATTGTTGCAAAGTGTTTTTTCACTATGAGCAGAAGAGTCTCTTGAGTAATGGAGACAGGGTTGTCCATCTTGGATTCCGCTGGGTGCATTTTATACACTTCTTCTGTGTATAAAATTTTTTTTTTTGCACACAAAAATGTACAATAACATTGTTTTGAATCTGACTGTAATATAGCAAAGTATTCATTAATTTAATTATATTAATTATATATTGTTGTAAATGTAATATTATACAAACTATTTTATAATTAAATGTTTTGTATACTATTTTCTCAGTTTCTCAGTTTAATATATATAGATATATATGAATTGCAACCACAACACACTTGTCAGTCTCCTGTTTTTCCTGAAAGTCATGAATATTAAATTTGTCATTAAATGATTGTTGTTTTTGTTGATGATGATAAAAATAAGCATGAGGATGTGATCGTTTTTAACTGTACAAGTTTAAAAACACATAACATACAAAAACACATGCAAAAAATACTGTAAAGTACTCAACAACAGCAACAGGCTCTTTAACCAAGATATTGTTATCTTTAAATATGTCAACAAGGAGGGTAACAGTAATTCATACTAATCCTCAAATATTAGTAATTTAAAAAACAACAACATATTAATGTAATTACAAACACATATCGGGGTGATACATAGGCTAAGTTTTGTAAATCAATGCATTTATTGACTACTAATTGCCAAAACTCGCAGTTGTGTGTCTTTATGTTATGCATTTAAATTGGCCGCCAAGAACTTCCGGGAACTATCTGAAAGCTACGTGAGTCACGTGACGGTGAAGCATTTTGAGCGACCGTTGGCTCCGATGTGTCCGATACCGGGAACAGTGTCCGTTAACGTGTGTTTGTCAAGTTAATCCGTCAGGATACGTCGAAGCGAATGTGTCGTTTGTCTGACTCCACTGGTATGTGTGTGTGTGTGTGTGTGTGTGTGATTTTATTTGTTAGTATTTTGTTGTTTATGTTTTTATTACTTCAATTCGTTGTCGTCCATTACTTTGATTAGTTTGTAACGGTCAGACGTTGGACAAGCGCTGTTGTTGACCGTTGCCAAGGCAACCAGGCAGCTCACAGAATGTGCCAACTGCTATCGAAGAGAGAAAATTATGGATTAACGTTATATTGTAAAGTTAAGTCCTAAGTGTATTATTATTATTTGATAGAGCAGGTGTAGAGAAGAGGTGGCGACCACACACAGGAAATTGCCACAGGTTCATACTAAAAAATGCCGGGTAATGTTGAGGCTGTTGGGCCATTTTTCTGTGTTGTTTTCAGTGAGTTGGGTAGTTTTTGTGTAACCCAGCTGCTGGGTTAACGGTTGGGTCCGTGGTTGGGTCACCCAGAGTGACGGTTGACACATTAGAGACGAGACCCCCGCCGCTGCGTCGTCTCCTGTTGGCGCCATATTACTCATAAAGCAGCGCATCCTCCTTCCTCATTTTTTATTACCCTCCAAAGTTTCATACGAGCGATAACTATCACTATCTGTGTTATGTTACCAAATTATACACCAGCTTTTGGTCCGTGAGCTTTAGCTAATGTTTCCTGACAGTAACACCCCGGGCGTTAGCCAAACTTCACTCTCATATCGGGCTGTTTTTTTTTTTTTGCTTTAAATGTTACTGAAATCACAATCCGGAACATAACGCTCGACACTTCTCATGAAACTCTTAATTGTTGTGGTGAATTCGGCTAGTATATAATCCACCAACTAAATTGTATTTGTAAGAAAATTATGAATTCAACTACCGTTACGTTAACTATAATACCGGTCGCTGCCACATGAGTAACTGTATTTAACAGACCTTTATTAATATTAGTGCTTGATACAATTTAAAAAAATGTAGAGTAAGCTGCGGTTATACAAGACTCCGCTCTCAATGCCAGCAAAGCTCACTGACTAACTACTAATACTAACGTTACTAATTCCTTTTCAAATATTGTTTTCCATTCTTTAGTTTGCGCGGGACTTTCTGAAACATGGCTGCCTGTGTACGGGGAGAAGATCTTGCACCTGGCAAGGCGTGGAGGGATTTCTTCACAGAAGAAATGACAGTGGGTGAAATATTTTTTTGTTGTACAGCACACATTGCAAATATCAATATTAGTGTAGGTTTTATTTTATTTGGTTACTCACGTGAATGTCCAGATCACAGTCTATCCACATCTTACTGATAGCTATTAAATTGTCTTCCCACAGACGCCCAGGGGAAACTCGTAAACTGAGAAGTGTTCCAGCACAGCACTGAGGAGTCTAGCAGGCCTTCACTGACTTGTAGGTACAATTTTGGTTATTCAAAGTAAAGTAAATATATCAGAACATGGAGAATCACTGAATTTAGGGGGTTCAGTACAGTGTTGTGTCCTCATTAAGCAGGTATGAGAAAAATGTGGGAAAACTGGTTTTCCAGATATGTTGGTTAGTTAAGTGTGTTTATAATGCTGAGCGGCACAGATAGCTCACTATGGTTGTTTTAGTTGACAGCATATACTATATTCAGCTTTATGAGAAATGGGGAACGCAAAACGTTGCCATGTCACTGATTTTAATTTTGAAGGATTTCCCTTAGCTTTATTTTTAATTCAGTATCAATATTGTTACACCTCAACTTAGTATTCTACAATCCTGCTTACTCTTTGCTTTTCAATACAGTCTTTTCTTTCTGTCTTTATATGGTTTGAACATGGCAGCAGGCTGAGGTGTGGAGGCCGTACCCTCTCATCCTGACACTGGGAGATGCCGGCGCTCCTCTCTGCCGTGTGTCATTCTGGAGGGACAGGCTTCGGAGAAGTTGATGTGTGTTTCGAGGCGTTTGATATGTTTGACTTTAACTTCTCTGAGCAGTGTGCTCCTACGTGGGAATGTGAGAAGTGGTCTACGAATTGGGATGAAGTGAGTGTTTTTTGGTTTCATATTTTTATAGAAGCCTACTGACAGTAATGATTATGGACATGTTATCATAATAATAATATAGTAATGTTGCTGTTGTTGATTCAAGTGTCATAGTGTTTATTCCATGTAAACAGCAATGAATTTGTTTTGCTTTTTGACAAAAAAATATTTTCTAAAATTGCTTAAAAAATTACAATGTTTATTGTGTACATGTATGGTTTCCATTACCAAACCTTCGTTGTATTTTTAATATGCTAGTATATCCAAGTAATTTGACAGTTCAATAGATGTGTAGTCCATTAAAATAAACATTTCTTTTACAGATTTTACTGTAACAACACAAGGTAGAAGTAACTCAACATCCCAGCTGATGTAAACCAACGTTTGGAAAAATATTCAACCCATCTTGCTTTAACCCAGCATTGTGGTGGTCCAATAGTTACCCAGCAGTGTGGTTGAAAACTTCCCAGATTGGGTTGTTTTTAAACCAGCACTGGAACCCGGGCCGCTGTAGGCTCAGCCTTTGTACATGGGACCTGCGTTGTTCCAGGTGAGCTACCTGGGCGCCCAAGTGTTGTATTTTTGTATATAGGTTTTTACAAAAGTGTGTGATGTAACTTTATTTGTCATGTGTTATTGTCACATGTGAGTAACAGGATCAGACAAGAACAGATCTACTTGGTTATTTTATCCATGAACTCTACAGTTTTCCAGAGACCTTACTGTATCACAACATGTATTTATATCTTACTTGAAAATTGGATATACTAGTATAGATACTGTTATCCATATTAAGGCAACCTTTTAAACTAGCAGTCTACATAGTAATAAATGTTCAATGATCAAGTTCTCCATAGTGCTAATGTCCAGAAGAACTGTAAAGCTTAGGGCTACTTTTTAGGCACAGATGGACATTGGAGACCTACTGAACTGTTGGTCCAGAGTTCAGAGTTGTTTGGTTACAGCAGTGGCAAAATACACTTCACATCTACTAGTTAATTCTATCAGACAAAATATACATCTTATATTGTGAAGTATTGAAATATTAGGCCTGTAGCGACGTGTCGACGCTTTGCCACAGCTCGACACACACACACATGGGAGACCAAATTTAGTCCCAAACGTAAAGGTGTCGTTATTTGCGCTCTTTGCTGTTGTGCTGGTGTGGTATGCCAACTCCATTTGGCAATGTGGGAGCATCTGGGGAGGGGGTGCCCCGTTGTTGCTCGTGGAGGAGACGGTGGCAGGTGGGTGCTGGCGTTGGCTGGGTTGGTTTCATGTTTGTTTTGTTTGGCTCGGGCTCTGCGCACTTCGGTGGTACTGACTGGCTGTCTTGGCTCTCGGTGCGGTTTGTTCGTGCTGGGTTGGTGGCTAACGTTAACGTTGGCTAACTACTGGCGCCTAGACAGCTGTGTTTAGGTAACGTTAGTTATCATCTAATGTTGGCTTGAATGGTAGCTGGCTTACGGCTGCAGAACACAGCTATCTATAGTAGTTTTTGGTTGGCTGGTGCCACCGGGCTGCGCGGAGCTCGGGCTGCGCGGCGCGCTGCACGGGCATGAGATTTGGCCAGCGTTGGTGCTCGCTTGTTGTTGTCTCCTTTGCGAGTGGCTAAGAGGTGCCTCCGTTTCAGAGAGAGAGCTAAGATGCGTTGGTTAGCCTAGCACCACCAAAGTGCACAGCTGCTAGATCTAGCTAACGGTAGCAAGAAGACTGCAGTAGCTTTTAACGTTGTCTGTCTAACGTTAGCTAACTCACGTTAATCGTCCAATTAGTCGTTAGATTAGTCGACTAATCAATAAAATAATCGCCCGATTAATCGTTTAATAAATAATCGTTTACCCCCAGCCCTAAATATATATATATTTTTTTGGCCTTTTATTGCCTTTATTGGATAGTGACAGCCAAAGATAGACAGGAAAGGTGGGCAGAGAGAGAGGGGATGACACGCAGCAAAGGGCCACAGGTGCAGTGTGGTGCAAGACGTTTCTCACAGCAGACATTTTGAAAAACTCAAGTGTAACTTAGGTGTGGCTTTCCGACACATCTAAATTGAACTCATGAACTGGTATTATATGTGAAAATGGTCACTGTGAGAAAGGTCTGTTAATGGCATTCATCTTGAAGGAAAGGAGTTTTTTAGGTCCCTGCCGACGCTACCTTCAATCTCATCTGGTGAGATGGAAGGTGTGACGGTTTGTGATCTCATTAAATTGTTTCCTTCAAGATGAATAAAGGTGTTAAAAGAAGCGGGGTGCAGTGAAAAGGGCGGAGATGGTCTTTTAGAGAAGAAGAAGATATACTTCATTAATCCCCTAGGGGAAATTGTTCTTTTCACTTTTTTTTTCTACACACAGGCTGAAATACACACTTAATGCACTTGTGGACATGCAAACAGGGAGAGAGATGGTGGAGTGATGGAACTGCCACGTTAACAGTGCCCCATGAGCAGGCTTGGGGTTAGGTTGCCTTGCCCAAGGGCACCTCGGCAGTGCACAGGAGGTGAAACTGGCACCTCTCCAGCTGCCAGTCCACAGTCAATACGTTTGTGGTCTGTGGGACTTGAACTGGCAACCCTCCGGTTCCCAAGCCAAGTCCCTAGCCAAGTCCCTACACACTGAGCTACTGCCGCCATTGCAGCAGCCCACAATGCAGCACCTAAAAGGCTTGGTTTGAGCTTTTCCCACTGCTTTAAAGAACCTCGCAGCTGCACTCTTTTTGGGTGGACTGAGGAAGACGTTCAGATGGCCCTTCAGATGTTTCACAACAGAATCAACAAACGATGGGTGGTCTGATGCCATTGCAGCCTCCAGTGGCTCCTGGAGAGGATCTTTCATCACAGCCTTGTTGAGTTTCTTCATGCTGTTCTTGATCTTTCTGACAGCAGAGTCAGTAAAATCAATCTCCTCCTGTGCCTTGTCCGACAGACGCTTGATGATGGCGTTGGTGTCTTCCATCTGAAGGGACTTTTTGGTTTTCTGAGGGGATTTTGTGATGATCCTCATGACCAGAGCAGTGATGACTTTATCCTGTCTGCTGTAGGAGATGAGGTATCAGTCGATACTTCTGAAAATCCACTGGCGGACTCTTCAGAGCTCGACACCTAACTGGACTCTTTCACGATGACATTGTTGTCCTCTGGTGGGGTTAGTGTTTTCGCCATTAGGTGTTCAATGTCCTTCAGTGCACCAGACATTGCATTGCTGCAGCTTGATTTAGTTGATGGCTCCATCTCCATCTAGAGCAGCACCTGCTGCAAGAATTTTCCTACTGCGTCTTCTGTCATAACATACACGACTTCAGGAGAAGTTGAGTGGTGGCGTCCACCTCCCTCCTGAGCTGTGAGATGACAGAGTCAGACAGACTTCTTACCATTGTAGCAGCAGAAAGTTGGTATGTCTAGCTACTCTTCAGATGACCATACATCTTAGTCAGTTCTTTTGAAAACTTCCTGATTTGATCTCTGGCCATTGTTTTGTTGCCACTTGCTACAGGTTTCTCTGGGACGTTCAATTGATGAAAAAAGCTGTCAACATCGTCTTTGAAGGTCTCAAAAAGTGGTGAAGACAGCTCCTTCCTCATATTGATTACTGCTGTCGATTGTGTTCTCACTTGTTCTCATCAGTTTTGCCATCATATTTTCATATTGTTTGTTGGCAAACTTGAGGAAGCTGTGTTCGCAAGATTTTTGGTTGATGCCGGTGGAGTGTTTTAGTTGCGGCATAGAAGTCTTTCACCTTGTCAACTATTAGCCTCAAATTAAAATGAGGTCTTGGTGAGATACTTTTGTCACTGCTCCTACCAACATCTGCAGTGTCAGGATAATGCAGGTTGTCAATTATTTTCAGACAATTTCAGATGCTGCAGCCTCAGCATCCATACAGGTGCAAACCGGAGGAATGAAAGCATGTCCTTCCTCTCCTTTGATCTCTGGCATCTCTCTGGATCATTTGACGAGGATGTCACTCACAGCTTTTGTCACAGTGGGGACAGAGATTGTGCATTTTATGCTCTGACATGATTCTGTTTCTTCCAAATCCTGGCTGTGATCTTAAGATTCTGAGATTTTTGCGTTTCTTGACCACCAACACCAGCAGTTCACTTTACCCAAATATCTCTTCAGGCATGAGGAAGCATGAAACACCATGCGACGAAGAAACGTCATGTTGGATATGTTGCCAAGGACAAAAATGCCAGGCTCCTTCGGCCAGTCGGAGCAGCTGGTGGAATTCAGCACAACAGAATCTAGCTTCTGGGAAACCTCCTTTGCCACCATTTCTGTCAGCACCTCTGCACTCTGACACGTCTGCAGTGGGACGTGAAGAGCATCAGCAAAGCTACCAGGGATGGAGTCTCCAAATTGAGCTCTGAAGTTCTCCAAAAGTGCACTCATATCAGTCTGAGTTGCACACCTGAGCATGATCTCCTGAATCATTAATGCAGTCGCTCTCAGGGTGATTTCAGTGATCATATCTGCCAGGGTGGACACTGTGTCTGTGTCCATCGTCCCTGAAGCTAACATTGCCCACTGTGCTGCAGAGATTGTTGCAAAGTGTTTTTTCACTATGAGCAGAAGAGTCTCTTGAGTTATGGAGACAGGGTTGTCCATCTTGGATTCAGCTGGGTGCATTTTATTCACATCTTCTGTCCCAAGTCTGGTTTGCTTTGGTGTGTTTGAATCTTATTTACTGTAAACAGTAATGTGTGGATTCTCACTGTGTTTTTGTAGGCACACCTGTATTAAATATCAGTCCAGCTGTGCACCAGCTGTAAGAGCATGACACACAGGCCTTACAGCAAACTCTGGACTCACGCGAGTTGAACAGAAAGTTTATATTCATTTTCCTACTTTATTTCACCAGAAATATCACCTATATTTTCTATGGTAAAAAAGTGAATGGATGTGCTCTCAGTTTATCTGCCCTTGCTAAACGATCTCTCTCTTGACCACTGTGTATTTTTTATTTGTATTTTTGGGTTGGGAGGAGAACATGCAAAGAAAGGATCAGCACATTTTTACAAATCAGAACACAATATTATAACTTCTGCAAACATAATGTGTAGGGCTGGGGGTAAACGATTATTTATTAAAAGATTAATCAGGCGATTATTTTATCGGTTAGTCGACTAATCTAACGATTATTTTTCTGTTAGACAGATAACGTTAAAAGCTACTGCAGTCTTCTTGCTACCGTTAGCTAGATCTAGCAGCTGTGCACTTTGGTGGTGCTAGGCTAACCAACGCATCTTAGCTCTCTGTGTAGTGTGTTCGTGCTAGGTTAGTAGCTTAAGTTCACATTAGCTAATGTTAGCTACTATAGATTGCTGTGTTCTGCAGCCGTAAGCCAGCTACCATTCACGCCAACATTAGATGATAACTAACGTGAGCTAAACAAAGCTGTCTAGGCGCCAGTAGCTAGCTAACGTTAATGTTAGCTACTAACCTAGTACGAAGAAGAAACTGCACGGAGAGCTAAGACAGCCAGTCAGCACCACCGAAGTGTGTTGTGTAGCTCAAGCTACACAAGAAATGAAATTAATTTAGCCAACGTTAGTAATTGTTATTGTCTCGTTCACGAGGGACAATGGGCTGCCTCCGTTTCAGATGCTCCCACATTGCTGTTGTGCTGGTGTGGTATGCCAACTCCATTTGGCAAAGAGCACAAATAACGACACCTGAACGTTTGGGACTAAATTTGAAGTATTCCCAAACCTTCAATGATTTAGGACGAGCTGTTTTTTTAGGACTTTTTCTTTTATTGGGGCTTTGTTGGGAATTCTGTGAGGAGGTTGCTGTTTCGTCCTCCATTCTCCAAAAATATGACGTTGACGCGTCACTGTAGGCCTAATAATGTGTATCTTGTGCACAAAATAACATCTTTCAGTACTTCAGGGGCTCCGTTTGTTTTTTTTAAATGTTTTTTTTTTTATTGTGGTATATATAATATATATACCCTTATTGTCTGCATGGACACATATTTCTGTACATTCATGATAATATTTAACAGTACATTCATAACCTATATTTATTGTTTTGAAACCAAGCAAATATTATATATTGTAGTTTTTCCCACTCTGCCACATACAGAACTGCACATATTGCTGAAAAGGTTGGTGCAGAACAGTGTATAAATGTGTATAAATGTATCTTTCTGTGATTGTGTGTGCTGATGATTAATTTCCTTTTTTCTTTTTATTATTTTCTCAATGTCAGGCCTGTAACAATAACCTTATAAAATTATTATTAATGTGAAAAATAATACCATTATTTAAACAAAGGACATATATTGCCAATTGTCAACATTGTTCAGTGTCAGCCTCATCTGAATCTCAGTGATGCTTCGTGGTATTGTATACTGTTGGTAATTTTACATTTTGTTACTCTCATCCAGCTATGTGACACAAGTATAAACTATAACCAGTTTATGAAAAATGAATTATTTTGTTGAGCTTGTTTTTCCTGCAGAAAATATAAAAAGAAGTAATTAACAAAGGAAATACTAATTGTTTTTATATTTAAATTAAATTATTGTGTTTCAAATTATAAAAGCATTGTAACCACTAAGTAGAATGGTTCTGCACATTATTTTAATCAAATACTAATTACATATACTACTACTTGTATGCCAGGTATTAGCCCTCGTCCAAAGCATCTGTGTATCCTTAACACAACATCATACTCAAGGGTTTTATAGTCTTATGTACTATACAAATGGTGACATGAAATTAAGAAAAGGGAAACATAATGATTCCATGAATAAAAAGATACCATCACTCATAACAATATCTTTCCAATTCTATTTTGACCAGGATAGAAATCAAAGATAGACCATATGTCTGAGTTGTGAGTCCAGCCAGTTTCCTGACCTTGCTCACAGTCAAATACACAGAGGACAGAAGCTCCATATCGTCACCAACTGTGGGTTTAAATAAGGACATATCAGAAATAAACCTTGTAAAAAAACAAAAAAAACGTGGAGAATAAGAGAGACAGTAAAAGGGAGACAGACCAGATGGCCGACAGGACAGCATGTCAACATTGGCGTGACTAATGGGTTAAATTATAACTAAATGAGTCTTCAGGTCTTTCTGTACCTGCACACCTGAACCTTTATGATGCTGCTGGTAGAGATACCACATACTGCATACTGAGGTAGCATCGCAAGTCCAACATCTAACAGTTCTGACACGTGAAATATACTTATGTCTGTCATCATGTATCTAACACTTTATTAAAAGACCAAGTGGCAAAGATGTGATTTTTATACCTTATTTTTACTAAACAAACTGTAATATGTGATCAGATTAGAGCTACAAGTAAGTAAGTTGACAAAATGTCCTTCAAATGTATCATTAACTGACCCCTAATAAAATTATTATTACTATTATTTCATACAATTGTTTTTGACTGTAGGGGGCACTAGTGGCTCTGTGAGGTTGTTCTGAGGCACAGCTGCGCTTTAAGATAAATGCTAATGCCAGCATGCTAACACGCCTACAATTATTGTTAACATGCTGCTGTCTATTATTTAATTTTATTATTTAACATGTTCACCAGTGGGTTTTTTTTTAACATGTTAGCATGTGTACATTTGCTTATTAGCCAAATAATGAGGGTGATGTCAGTAGTTTTACTGGTTTTATTTGGCCTCAAACTATTGTAAATGAAAAGTTAAGGGTACAGACATTAACATTAATCCATGTCAATGTCTGTACCTGAATTTAATGTTAATTTGTTCTCCACCAGTATGTCAACATAAGGTCACAGGATCAAAGAAATCAGGATTCTTTCTCTGGGGAGAATGAATGTCTGTAACATATTATAGCAATCCATCACGTAGGTGTTGAGATATTTCAGTCTGGAAAAAGTGGTTGATCGACTCTCTCCGAGTCTCTTCTTTAATCAAAGAGTGTGGAAATGTGTGGCCAGGTTTCCGGCAGAGCAGCTTCTCTGCACCGTGCCTGTTTCCTGCCCACAGGGTTAGGGTTGATGCCCAGACATCTGTTCCTGTGGACAGACACAGAAAAACACTGGCACAGGCACAGTTAATCTCTGCTACAGGCCTGCTATTACTTAATTAAACAATCTCATATCCATAGATTACATAGAACTCTATGGATGGAAAGTTGGTAATATGTAGGCAGTGTTTGAAAAGTAATAACTGAATAAGAAAACCTGAGGAAGAAAGTCTCAGACAAAGCACAACAGCTACTGGAGAGAGCCTTTATTGGGCATTTTCTGCATCAAATCCTTAAAAAAAAACATCAATTAAAAACATATCTATAACTTTTTATCCCTTGACCTGTAAGGTTAGAATAAGTTCATATAAAAAGAACAAATTATATTATTAGGAATAATAGAAATTTGGATATATAGGTTAAAAAAACAATGACCCACATCCGTTCTCTTAATAAATATATACACAATAAGTACTAAGATACAAAAAGAGGGATCGTATAGATCCTTTTTTTTTCTTCCAGTGGATATATACAACAATATTTCCATTTTAAAAAGGTGTTTTATCAGTTAGTATGTATTATATACTATAGTTATGGCAATAAAGGAGAATTTCTTTTCTGAATGTGTCTGAACCTAAACATCATATTGCACTTCCAGAACAGCCTCCGTGGACTGTGCTAGACATTCATTGACCTATTTCATCAACATTCAGAAAACTGCTCTACATGAGAAGGGTAGCTGTGTTTTAGCATTATCATCAATATATTTAGCAACTATTTAATACTTACAAAGAGGCCGTTATTTAAATTGATCTGAGGAAAAAACACCTTTTCACTCAACAAACAACATGTATTTTATGCTTCAAAAAAAAAAAAAAAAGTACAACAAACATTTACATTAGTCTACTCTAATTGTATGATGGTTGAAGAAGGCTTTACACACTAAATACTGCCATGTTGTTTGGTATTAATACACTGAACCACTTGGGGCTCTGTCAACAATTTGCTGTCTTCATTTTATGTGCTAAATACCCAACTTTAAAGGATTGTAATCATCAGTGCTATGGCTTTAGGAAGGGAGCTGTTTCTCCTCATAAAATTCAAACATATGAGAAACACTGCTGCTTGCAAAGCATGAGGTATAGCAGCACCACAAACACTCTGCACAACAATGTACAAAAGCAGGCACTAATATTTGAGGTGCAACTCACTGAATACAAAGTAAAGGTGTCAGCAATCAAACCCGTCCTCACTTGTTGATTCTTATGCACAAAAAAAGGTTTTAAAATGAATAAAAATTCATAACTTACATATCTAATCAACGTTGCAGTCTATTAAGAGCTGTACCTTGTATAAAACACCTCTTGTGGGACTTTTAAAATCTGTTTGACATTAATACAGAACAAAGACAACATGATTTAAGCTTCGGATCGAGTCCATAATCACTGCATAGCTGGACATGTAAACCACTAATTGTCCTCCATCACTCCTTTCTGACAGTGACGTCGCCTCCTCCAGTCCAATCAGATTTCAGTGAGGGTGAGTTTGTACATGCCGCCCAACTCCTCCATGGTGATCTGGAAGGTGTCTTCGTTGGAGTAGTGTTTGATGATGTTGTCATCCATGTGGACTAGAATCCTATTATAAGACAGATACCGGTGTTAGAGATAGATAGATAGACAGACAGACAGATAGATAGATGGATGGATGGATAGATAGATAGATAGATAGATAGATAGATAGATAGATAGATAGATAGATAGATAGATAGATAGATAGATAGATAGATAGATAGATAGATAGATAGATAGATAGATAGATAGATAGATGCTTTGAATTACAGCAGCAGCGAGTTTAATTGCTAATGCTCAGTTAACTCACAAATTATTTTAGTTTCATTTGGGGTTCATGTGAAAACACATCTGTACTGTGTTTGACCTCCCTGTAACAGGGATGTGACATAAATCAGCCAATCTTGAATTTGGGAAAGCCAAAGGTTTGATTGATACTCTCACTATTTGTATTTAGAAGGAGACCTTGAGGTGAAAGCAAGGAGGAATTTCACAAAGTTTCAAACATAGTGTAGTGTAGGAGGATGTCACTGACTCAAACTCACCCTTTCTTGCACTTCTTATAGACCTTTCCAACCTTATCCAAGGGTAAATCATACTTCTCTGAAATCTGGTTGAGAAAAAATACAAGTCAATGTTAAATTATTGAGCAAACTCTA